TTTCCTTTGGTGGCTGCCTGGCCCAGATGTTTTGTGTCCATTCTATCTATGCTCTAGAGTCCTCGATTCTTCTTGCCATGGCCTTTGATCGATATGTGGCTATCTGCAACCCACTGAGATACACAGTCATCCTCAACCATGCGGTCATAGGCAAAATTGGCCTTGTTGGGATATTCCGTAGTGTGGCCATTGTCTCCCCCTTCATCTTCTTATTGAGGCGACTGCCCTACTGTCAACACCATGTCATGGCGCACACGTACTGTGAGCACATGGGCATTGCTCGACTGGCCTGCGCCAGCATCACTGTCAACATTGTCTATGGGCTGACTGTGGCCCTGCTGGCCATGGGTCTGGATTCTGTTCTCATTACTGTCTCCTATGGTTTCATCCTCCGTGCTGTCTTTCGCCTTCCATCCCGCGATGCACAGCACAAGGCTCTGAGTACCTGCGGTTCCCACCTTGGGGTCATCCTGGTCTTCTACATTCCTGCCTTCTTCTCCTTCCTTACCCACCGTTTTGGTCAGCACCGAGTCCCCAAGCACGTGCACATCTTTCTGGCTAATCTCTATGTGCTGGTGCCTCCTGTGCTCAACCCGGTCATCTACGGGGCTAGGACCAAGGAGATTCGGAGTCGACTTCTAAGACTGCTTCGCTTGAAGAAAATTTCAATATGAATTCTGAGCAAAGGTTGGAGGTGAGAAGAATATATTTGTATGGTAGCTGTCTAGATGCATTTATGTGGGCAGAGACTGGAAAGAAAATAAAAGGCCAGATAAATTGGAGATATCAATAATCCCATTGAAATATCTTTTTTTCTGAGACTCTTTGAGCAACTCTAAACAGACCAGAAAGGTGATAATATTTTTAATTTTGTCTCAAGAGTACCTATGTTTTACTAAAGAGTGAGTCAGGTGATTTTAAGAAAAATCTGGGTTTTATGGTGGAGCTCTTCTACTGTGACTTTAAGTAGAAAATAAAGAACACTTGCAGTAAGTTGAATCTGAGTTCCAATTTTTTGAGTGATGAAGCACACAAAGTCTAAAGTCAGAACGCCTGGATTCGAATCCTGGTTCCTTTACTTGTTTTGTGATCTTGAGCATGTTGTCAAATCTTCCGATGCCTCAGTTTGACAAAGTGTTAAATGGAGGATGATGAAAATACCTAACTCATTATTGCAGTGAAGAAAAAATAAATTAATACATGTAAAAGTCTTAAGGCAATGCCTAACATGTAACATGCTCAATAAAATAAATATAAGATGAAAAACTTATGTAGCCTCTGTAAATATTATTAGCCAAGTTATCATTATTTAGGGCTGTTGTATGTTATAGCACTTCCCAGGGTTATCGTGATAACTGTATAACAACTCTAAAATATTTGGACAGTGCTTGTGATATGAATAGCATTCATTAAAACCATATTTTCTCCGCCTTTCTGGTCTTCCATTTTGAGATCCTTTTTTTTTCAGCCATAAAGTAATTTCTTTTTAAGGACTCAGGGAGATGGCTCAGAGTCCAAGTGCATTTTAAAATAATTATTTATTGCTTAATAACCTCAGTTCTGAAATACACAAATAAGTCCACAGATACTCCTCCCAGTGGCTCAAAAATAAGGCTGTTATCTGCATTTTAAGAGAGACTAATAGTACTATGGTTATGCATTTGTACAGGCACTATCTCATATATTATCCAGTGTTTTGTAATAGAAAGAAATGTGATGTGTGGATCCAGATAAGCTTGAGCTTAAATCTTGACTTCCTTATCTATTAGCAGGTGCATAAATTCGGGCATACCACTTAATCACCCCCAGCCTTAGTAATGTGTTCCTGTGCCTGACATAAAAACTGGTCATAGTTGGTAGTATTTGGTTAAAAATATTTAAATTTATAAAAGTATGCTATGTTTTAATATATTTGCATAACCTAAAATAATCTATATTGTTTGTCTATTTACTTCTTGATTGATTCATTAGTTAGCATTCTAAAATTTCACCAAAATAGGCATCTTATCTGTTTCTTGCACAATGCTAATACACCCTCAATAAATAATATGGAAAAAATATTACAGGCCATACTGGTATATGTCATATTTTTGTTGTATTAATGAATAAATGGATATCTTCTCTGTACTATTGTGATGAGTAATGACAATACATTTCAAGTATAGTGTATAGCACATAGATGTTCAATAATGATATATTTTATTTTATATCACATTGGGCTGATCCAATGAAGGCACATCCACAAGGATCAGGACAGAGGGAAGGGAGAGTTTTTTTACTCAGAATTGCAGTTGGAGCAAAGAATATCGCAAAGTCGATAGGTAAATTGATTTACAAACACTGTACATGTCTCATGTATACTTGATATACTTGCTCATATGCATACTCCCATGATGCTATCACCGCGGTCATGGTATTAAACATATCCATCACCTGTGAAAGTTTCCTTGTGTCTGTGCGTGCGTACATGCGTGCATGTGTGTGTGTGTATGTGTGTTAAGAATCTTCAACCAGTTTTAACTCAAGGCTGAAGTGAGGTTAATGGTTAATAGGAGAAAGCAATGTTTTCCCAAGTGATACTTCCCTGACCACCACACCCCAGTGTTCAGTATTTAAGTGCACACATAAAAGGAATTCGACTTCTGAGAATAGACGGAAGTCACCAGTTGTCAAGCATGTGCAATTGATCCAGCCTGTTCTGCAGGCCCGGCCCTGCTAGACCATAAGCAGCCCTCTGCTGGACCACTTTGCGAGTGTCATACCCTTACATAGGAATCAGTGCAATTATCAGATTGCAGAGAAAACTTTATAATAAGCCAAATTATGGAATCCTGCCGTATTGGATATTCTTGTTTCTTATTGTCCTGAGTCTAGCTCTTTCTGTTTGTGCTAAGGGAGACTTTGAACTGGACTTTGATTCAGCCCTGGTGAGGTCCTGAGCAGTTACTCTGCTGAGTTACCCCCATCACAGCCCATCCCCAGGACTAGAATCCACCCCATCACTCCCAAATCAGTTTTTATGTCGTATGTCTCTCTTACAACACACACACACACACACTCACTTTCTTACATGTACAGTGGTACTTTGGTTTTCGAACATCTCCATTGACGAACATTTCGGTTTACGAATGCCGTAAACCCAGAAGTAAATGCTTCAGTTTTCAAACAGGCCTCGGAAGTCGAACATGCCACGCGGCTTCTGCTGAGGGCAAGATCCTGAGGCCTAGCTGTCAGCTGTTGATCCCTCAGTTTTTGAACATTTCAGAACTGGAATGGTCTTCTGGAACAGATTACATTTGAAAACTGAGGTACCACTGTACAGTGAAAAAAAATTCCTTCCTCTGAACCCTGAGGAAACTCTTCTTACTGCCCCTCTCTACCTCCTACTTGACTGCCACATTATTTTATTTTGTTTTTATCTGTGCTTATTATAAGTAGGCATAGGTGATTTCTTCATTGTGATTGGATTATTCTGAACTTTTCCTCTCTAAATGAGTTTCTAAACTCCTAAAGAATGGGAAACCTAAGTTGTTCCTTCCTCTGTGCATGGGCCACACAGGACACACTTTCTGCTCACTGACCTCATGGGAATGGACTGATCCCAGCTGTGGGGTGGTGTAAAGCTCAGAGCACAAACTCTGGAATCAAGGAGCTTGGGCTTCTTCATCTCTGTCAGTCACAAACTGTGTAACTTTGGGAAAATTACAGACCAAATAAGGCATGCTTCACTGCCTGTGCCATGAGTCACCTCACTGATAGAGCAGAAGTTTATAGAAGATAATGGGTAGATTGGGACAGTATTGATGACTTTCACTAAGGCATTGGTACCACAGAATTTAGAGTAGCAATGGGAGTCAGGGGAAAGGTGCTCAGCTATATTTGGACATGCTGAGCCAGAGGGTCCTCTGGGACACCCAAAAGGAAAGCTAGCAAGCTTTGGAAAGTACAAATAGATTCAGCTTTAGGAACCATGTTATTAAAAGAGCAAGAATCAAGGAAATGGCCAAATTCTTTGAAGGATGAATAAAGAAAAAATCAGTGTAACATACTTTCAGGAGGCACCACTCTATAAAATAGTGGGTAAGAGAATAGATTCAATGAAACAGCTTAAAGAAAGAAAGGTCAGTATATAAAATTTCATTTAAAAAATTAGGGAAGATTGGGAATGAGGAACAGCTTTGAGAAAGTTTCTGCACCATACTGGGGATAAGTCAGAGACTGCAGAGGGTAGTGAAACATGATCATTGGAAGGGCAGACGGAATTCAGAGATCAAAAGGGAGATACAGTTCAGTAACCAATGAGGCAGCAGAGTCAGGCATTCTGCAACATGGAGGGAGGAAGTCTACATAAGAGGAGAGGATGGATCTTCAGAAGTAGTGCAGGTGGACCTCATGAGAGCGGGATCCTGGCACAGGAAGATATCAAAGGGAGCACCCCAGCTGAGAGGGAAGTTAAACATCTTTTCTGCAATACCAAGAGACTGATCCCAAAGACAGAGAAACATGATTAAAAAGTGGGTGGCATCCAGAGGCCATAAAAAAAGGCATGGCTTCCTGCAGGAGCAAAAGCCAGGAATCCTTCGGAGTTGGAATACAGGTGGCCCATGGTGATGATGGTAATGTTGGTGAGGAACTGGGCTTCCAACTGAGCAGGAGAAAAAGTACTGAAAAAGAAGTATGATTTCCCCACTTCATTCTCAAAATACTCTGAGATTCAGGATATGCGAAGATAGAGCCCAAACCCAAGACCATTTAACATGATCATTTCCTACTTCAAACAACATTATCTTTGCCCACCTTCCCCAAAATTGACATCACACATGAGATCCAAGCAATCTTTTTAATGTAGAACAGGCTTGGGCAGTGAGGGAGGGGCTGTTCCAGTGTGCACATGATCTGAATAGAGGAATTCCCAAAATAAGCTACTTCCCCTCCCTTCCCTCTTTCCTTTCCCCACCTCCCTCTCCTTGGGGTGGCATGGTGAGCATCAGCTGAAGGACCTAGGCTTCTGGTTCCCCCAGCAGCCTCTCAATGGCAGCATGGATGTCTCCACCTGTGGCCATCAGAGCCTGCAGGTTGGCATCTCGATTAGCAAAGCCCATGGCCTTCAAATGCTCCAGTTCTTGCTGGTACCTGCTTTCAGTGAGGAGAGCTGGAGATAGTGAGGATTGGGTAGACTGGGAGCAGGCATTGGCCAGTGCATGGAGAAGCTGAAGGACAGCCATGGTGGGTTGCACAGGGTCTGTTCTGTGACCCTGTCTAGTTTCAGGGGCTTCTGTAGCCCCATGCGGTCTACCAGGGCCCCATAAACAAGGTCCCAGACCAGGCACCTCCCTGGACAGCATCTGCAGGCCCTTTTCTATCTGTATCAATGCCTGCAGTGCTTGTGGGTTGGTGAGGATGGGAAGTAGTGGCATATGATGTCTCAGGGGGCTGCCAGTGGCTAGCTGGTGTAGCAGAGGCGGATTTTGCTGAAGGACATGCAAGGCTCTACGCAAAGCCAAAGGTGAGGGTCTCAGCTGACTGGTTAGAGTGACTTTCCCTGTGGGCTGCTGGCTATCTTGGGAGGAAAGATCTCGGTCTGAGTATGAGTCTGGCATACCAATCCTGTACCCTGAATTGGCCTGGGTTGAGGCCATGCCCCTGGCCTGAGCAACAGCTCCTGCGCTAACCTCCTGAGCCACTGGCCTGGCAGGGGCAGGGGCAGCAGTGATGGCAGTGGTGGTGTCAGTACCGCTGTGCGCATTGGCCTCCCCTCTGCAAAGCTCTGAACCTGGGTTGTGGCCTCTGGAAGCAACCAGTGGGGCCAGAGTGAAGAGCATAAGCTGCTGGATATCAGGGCAGATGGGACGCATGGCATTATCACCACCTGGCACTGCCTTTAAGGCCTCTAGCCTTCGCTTGTTTGCCTGCAGGACCCCCTGTTGCTGGACTGGGTTCTGCAAAGTTTCCTGAGCCTTAAAAGCTGGCTCAGGTTTCCGTACTGGCCTGGAGGATTCAGGAACTTGACTAGTATTGGCCAGTTTCTCACTTGCCAGGCCCTGAACCAGAGGGTCTTCTAAGAACTGCATCACGGGCTCGGGCGCAGCCATTAGGAGTTGAGCCAGCTGGCCAAAGAAGTCAGCCAGATCAGGTGAACTCCGGGCCAGCCAGCCCAGCCTGGCCACCAGCCCAGCACTCTCTGAGGTGGAGGGTTCAGAACGACGGGTGCAGTTGCCTGTGGGGTCTGGCAGGGTTCCGGGACTGGACAGAGTTCCTTTCAGACGGGTCCTCACCACCAAGTGGACCGTAGTTCCATCAAGGATTCCACGTTGGCTCAGAATGTCTTGGTCCCGGAGGATCTTTCCAGTGAAGATGAGCACTAACCGGTCAGTGTCACAGTGAAGGCGCTTGGAGATCTGTTTCTTAAAGTGACGGACGCTGCTGTTTTCTGCCAGCATAAACTCCTGGCAGTCCTGCGGGGTCTTGACAGACACTCTGATGATACGTGATGGCTCTCGACCAGACACCAGGTGACTGTCCCCTGCTTCTTCTCTAGCCTGTGCCATATTTCCTCAAGAGCTGATGAAGGGCCACTTGTAGAATCTTAGATGTAGCACTGAGCACACCTTGGGGCAGGGACCAGTAGGTGTCCAGTGATGTCCTCTCACCCACGTCCTATAAACACCTCCCAGTTTACCCCTGAAGCCACCTGGTTCCCACTGGGGGTGGCAGCTGCCTTTCTTCAGAGCCAGCCTTAGGGGATATGATGTCATTGATGAGGTCACAGTTGATACCTGAATGGGGGAAGGGCAGAGGCCTCTACCACCTGGCTTAGGTTGGCTCTCTTTATGATTTGAGTTAAATATAAATTTAAAAAATTAATGTTTCTTTTTAGAAACATGTTTTGCACCAGCCTACTGTACTGTTGAAAACCACGTGCACTGAGTTTGATCAATGAATATCGCTGAGTAGAAAAGGCAGCTATATAGAACCAGTTTACAAAGTACTGACTCTAGTCACCTACCCTTCACTAAATTGCTATCAGCTGACCATGGCCTAGTCAAGACCACAGGTTCCCATTTCTATATGAACAGAATGAAGACATATATGATTAGTCCATCCAGCCTCAATTGGGGTCTTGTAGGAAGCTTGCCTCTCTGAGAACCACAAAGCTGAGTAACCCATCTGCCTGGTTCTAAGAAAGACAGCATCGTGTTCCCCAAGAACTTGTAAATAAAGTTGTTCCCACAGAGTTAAACTATGATTTCAACTCTCACCGGGTCAGAGCTGAAACAGAAATTGTGAGAAAGTAACAGTTTCACTTTAGGTCTTTATGACTTAATAGATTTAATGTATATTTGGAGAGGAGGTTTGTCACTTGGGAGGGGATATATTTTGGCTGCAAAAACATAAAACAGGGCTTTCTCAGGCACTCTTTTGACCACACCAGGCAGGTGGGGCCCCAGGGTAAAGTATCTAATCTCTGCAGCAATTATATTTCTTACTGTAAAGATGAATACAGCAGGTTGTTTTAGGGTTTTGCCATTACAGAGTCAGAGCTACCATCTCAAGGGAACGGCCTGGCAAGTCTTACTCCTCAAACCTTTGGAATATTTGACTGGGCGCAATAACCTTTGGACTGGGGGTGAAAGACAGTGTATTCCAAACAGCCATCTGCAAAAAGAACAGGAAAGCAGGCACCTTGAAGATAGTACTGAAAATGAAAGCATTCTTTAGAATTAGCACTACTGGGTATAGCTAAAGAATAGCTTATCTTAATTTCTCCTGTAAAAATTCCTTCCTTGCCGTATTAACATCAACAGAAATTTCTTCCTTCTTTTCATGTAATTATTTCCTTTCCCTTTCTCTTTAATACCCCTTGTCTTTACCTCCTAATGGGAACACTATTTGGGTTCTGCCTGAATTAGGGCTTCCCAAAATTGCAATTATTTTTTTAATCTCAGATAAACCCTTATTGCCTCCTACTTTGGCCTTTTATTTTTAGGTTATTTTTATTTATGTGTATGGAGCAAACACATATTAGAATCCTTTGCTGTCATGAGAAGTAAAATAATATATAATAGTAAATGAGCTCTTGACTGTCTCTTCACAAACCTGTTTCTCCCACAGTTTCTGTATTGCAGGGAAGTTTACAGCCGAGATAGCTAATGTCAGAACAGGATCTCAGATTTTCCTTTCCCTCCAGTCCTCTCCTCTCTTCAAATAAGATTATCACTCAGCCAGTTGTTTAGGCCCAAAACACAGGACTCATTCTTTATTCCTCTCTTTCTACATCTAATTTATCAGCAAGCATTATGGGCTTTTTCTTCAAAATACATCCTGAATCTGATAACTTCAATACTTTCAATACTACAATCTGCTGCTAACTGGTGTCCCTGCTTTCTTTCTTGGCCCATTAGAGTCACTACTTCCCACAGTTTTGGCTTCCACCCTTGCCACCCTCTCATTCATGCTCCACATAAATTAAAAATAAAATCCACACTTCATGCATGGGCAACAAAGCCATGTGCAATCTTTTTTCTTTTTTTTCTTTTTTAAAATTAAATATATCTTTTATTGATTCAGAGAGAGGAAGGGAGAGGGAGAGACAGAGATAGAAACATCAATGATGAGAAAGTTGCCAGTGATTAGCTGCCTCTTGCAAACCCCCAACAGGGAATCGAGCCCACAGCCTGGGCATGTGCCGTGACCCGGAATCAAACCGCGATCTCCTGGATCCTAGGTTGATGCTCAACTGCTGAGGCATGCCCGGCCTGTGCCCTGTGCAATCTTGCACTCACTTGTCTTTCCCACCTCACTTGGGTGTGTTCTTCCCCTCATTCTCTACACTCTGGACACTGAGGAGAAGCAGAATTTTTCACCCCAAAATATGTTTTCTAGGATACTGATTATTTTAAGCTGGTTAATTTTAAGAAAAAGAAGTCTCAGAACTTTTAACTGCCTAAAGGAATTCAGATAGAAAAACCTGCCTAAAGAAAAGAAGCTATCACCTTAACATAATATAAACTGTGTGAGGGAGACAGAAAGGAATCTTACAAAGTCAGCCAGATGCCATGTTCCGATGTTTGGGTGGCCCAGCAATACTTTGTTGACTACGTGTGTTGTTCTCACCTACTGTGAGTTGCCTACTTTCCTTTCGAAATCCCAGACATCTGCCTCCTTCTCCGTAGTTCAGAATGGCATATAAACTTCAACTAAATATTTTTTAAACTGAGAAATTATGTTTTTAGAAAAGAAGAGGTTTAACTATTAGCATAGTGGTGGCTTTATGACTGTTTATCAAGGAAACATTTGCTTGCTGCATGAGAATCAGTGAAAAATCTCTCTGAAATAAGAATTCAAAATGTAACTGGTGACGACACAGTTTCATCACAACAATAGCCATTCTGAAAACATAATGAAAAAAATCTTACTCAAAACAACCAAGAACGTAATGTTTAAACAAAGCTAAATGTGTAGAACTTATATGAAGAAACTACAGTTCTTTATAAACAAATAAAACTTAAATGGAAATATTTCCTATTCCAAAAGACTTTCTCTGATACATTTCTCACTTTTTCTCTAATTTATAAATGTAAAGGAAAGCCAACTAAAATGTCATTTGTCCTTTTCTGAAATTTACCATCTACTATTAAGTGTATTCAGAAAAATCAACAAAATTAGACATTAGGATTTTGCAAAATTAAAATAATTGAAGAATTTGGATACTGATAACAAATGATGGTTGCCAGAGAGGAGGGGATTGAGGAACTGGGTAAAGGGATTAAGAACTAAAAATTGATAGTCACAAAATAGTCCAGAAGCGGTAAAGTAGCATAGGGAATATAGTCAATAATATTGTAATAACTATGTAGAGTGTCAGATAGGTACTTAAATACCAGAGGAAACACTGTAAAGTATATGATTGTATAATCTCTGTACTATACCTTTAAAACTGATACTGGACACAACAGGTCCCAGGCCACCCGTCACTACTTGAGCCAAATTAAGGAGAGACAGAGTTGAATCATGTATGAGCATTTATTCCAATAATGCTGGCAGTGGGGAGAGTAGTTGGTCACCCTGGAAATTCTGCTCTTACTCCCTTCGCCAGTTGGCTGATTATATAAGGGTAAGGTAGAAGAGAACTACATGCATCTGCAAGCTGCAAATGTAACAGGGATAGGGGAGGGGAGGGTCTGCAGCCCAAATTTCAGAAGCTCGAAGTCCAATAACAAAGTGGCTAATCTTCTATGGTGTTACAAATAGCTCAGCCGGTTCCTAGGACCAGAGAATGGTCAGCATTCCTGAGGCAAACTCCCAGAGTAGGGATCAGAGTTCAGGCACAGCAACCAAATCAAAGCTTGTCCTGTTCTTGATCTGCTTTTAAAATGTATTTCTTTTTACAGCCTTGTTCTCCTTTTTGCAATGCATCCTCCAGTTTCCCAGGGTCTGTAAGAAAACCTCTTATTTATAGTTAGTAAGGTGAATAATTATTAAACAACTGTGGTCCTCTTCTTAAGTGCCCTCCCTCCTATCAAAACTAATGTAATATTGAATGTAAATTGTAATTGAAAAAAATTTAAAAAGAAAAAAAACAGCCAAGAAAATAAATAATTGAAATGTGGTGCTAGTAGATCAGATTTTAAAAAATAGATACACATATACTCATATGAGAAACTCGGTAAAGAAGGTATTTCAGTCCATTGTAGATAACTCAAGGGTGCAAAAATTTCAATGAAATCCCATGAACTATCTCTTTCGTTTTGTTTGAGTAAGGATTAAAGCATTAACTTCATTCCTTGCAGTGTTTAAGAGTGTGGGCTCTGGAAATAGGTGATCTAATTTCAAATCCTGACTCTACTAGGCAGAAGCTGTATAGCTTTAAAAGAAATGCACTTCCCCTCTTCCTATGCCTCAGTTTTCCTCATCTGAAAAATAGGGATAATAATATGACCTGCATTAAAGAACTATTGTGTGGCTGCAGGTGTAAAAAGCTTGAAACAGGACCCAGCATGTAGGAAAACCTCAAAAAGTGTTAACTGTTATTAAAATTAAATGTAATAAGTGTGACCCTAATCTATCTAGAAAAATGGGGCATGTACTTATGACAGACATTAGGGAAATATCTTTTTAAAAAATAAAGAACAAAGATGTCAAAAAGTACTTTCTGTTGTTTGGGTAGTACCTTTCTCTTAAAATGCTGTCCACCTACCTGGCTGTCTATCTGTGATACAGATCAGCAGACTTCACTGTTTTTTGTGGGTTGTTTTTTTTTTTCTTTCTATCAAACCTCTTGAAAAAAGGGTACATTTTGTAAGGATCCAGGCATAAGGCCAAGTATAACCAGAGCTCTGACCCTGCTTCCATCTTCCACCCACACCACCCCCTGGTGTGCGGTCCTTCCAAGGCCCAGACATTTGACTTGGAGCACTGCTGATAGAGTGTGAGAATCAGAGCCGGGACTGCACATGGGATGTCTCCAGAGCCTGCTCTTTCAGTAATATCAGCCCACAGGAATCTCTCTTCCCCAAACCCCAACAGTCTTTATTTCCCAAAGCACAAT